TTATAACTAGCTTATAGACCTTGAATAAATGATTGGATTAAACTTGTAGACAAAACGCGAGAATTTTTCATTAAAAATTTTTGAAAATGACAAAATATGTTGGAAAACCTCCGCAAGTGTGATATAAGTTAGTTATAAACCGGGTAAGTCGGTTTATAACTGATATATTGCCCCTCGGACGCTACGCGTCCTCGGGTCAATATATGAGTTATAAACCTCCTACTCGGTTTATAACTCTTACTTAATATATTTACTAGTTGAGGTTTGGCTTCGCGGGGCTTATGGCTTCTTGGGTCAAATATATACGACTTATATTATTATATTACTTACAAAATCTATTATTTATAAATTAAGACGGGGTTAGGGTTAGATTTAGGCATGATTTAGGATAGGCCGATAGGGTTGTAATATTGAGAAACTGCCGCTTTGCTGTCCGTACTGCACGCAACATTTTAAATTCAATCTTACCGCTGATGCTGTCAAAACACTTGCATCCTCAAGCCGCAGTGAAAGTCGCTTGAACGTCAGTTCTTCTTTTAACCAAGTCCACATTTTGTGAATGCTACAGTACCGAAACCTTGATTGAACAGAAAATGTGTTAATAAAAGCAATATAAAAGCATATAATGTTTTAACTACTCAGACTTCTGTGCTCACTGAGTAGTGAGTACTTAGGGCACAGCTTAGGGTTTTCACTTGTTTCCATCTACCAAACTGACGTTACGTCATTTGATCAATTTCTAAACTAAAGACAAGTTGCTTCTTTTTGGATTTTTTTTTATTAATTTGGTTAGGGTTAGATGCGGTTAGGAATTAGTGTAGAGGTAGAGTTAGTTACATAGCCATTTAACACATCTTCCGAAAATGCTTTCACGTCAGTTTGGTTGATGGAAACAAGTGCTTACCGTACTGCAAAGCTGTCAATACACTTATCAAAGGCAATCTGCATATTTATTAGGCTCGACGGAAATACCGATCAAAGAGATTATAAATAACCCGCTCTCCTCCGCAGAGCCTTACGAATTTTATTATCCCTACAAATCCTATATAATTCAGACTCTGCGGAGGAGAGTGATAAATAACAGTTATTTATAATCTCTATGGTAGTGATGGGCGATACCGAGTACTTGGTATTCGATACCAGCGATACCACAAACAGCGGTATCGGTATCGATTACTGACGTGGTATCGTTCGATACTTGTACCCTTTTTTAAACGACTTGTTTAATTTCACTTCTTGGTTGAATAAGACTTAATAAACCACTAAAATAACTCTTAATATTCCAATTGTGGTGCGCCAAGTCATGTATAGAAAATATTTATTACGTTTCGGGCTTTTGGTTTACTTATAGCTTTATTTAGGTTACATACAGTAATGTATAATGTTTTTCCGCTGACCGGCAGGTATCTAAAGTAGCCGATACTAGAAATTTAAGTACTCACTTCCGGTATCGAAAATTGAAATTTTGTGTTCATTTTGGTATCGAAATAGGTATCGGTATCGGCCGATACCGATCTTAAAAGTATCGGTATCGGTATCGAATTAAAAATCCTGGTACTCTATGGATCAAAGAAGTGAAAGAACGCCCCCCTCGAATTAACGCCGCCCTCGAATAAACGCCGCATTATTTCTCATCGATGCGGCGTTTATTCGAAGCATTCATAACATATGAACTTTATTCTTAGTTTTTTGGGTTAAGTGTTGAAGTTGAGTTTTAATTAAACAATAAATGCACACTTGTTGTTACAAAATTTGCAATAAACACCGCCCTCGAATAAACGCCGCCCTCGAATAAACGCCGTACCTTGAGCGCCAAAAATTTAATAAACGCCGCGGCGTTTATTCGAATAATTACGGTATACATTTATACATTGTAGCCACTACGTGTCTTCTGATTGGCCAGTAGCTTACAGCTAAATATGGAAATGCATTGAATCAGCACGGACGGAGCAGTAGAAAAACCACCATCCTTTATGATAAACTACATTGTTTATCATTACAAATTTTATTATTACTAAGGGGCAGACCATTAGATTTCTGAGGGCGGGAGGTGTTGGAAGAATTGGGGTTGGAAGTGAAAGGCACTTGAACGTCAGTTCTTTTGTGAATGCTACAGTGCCGCAATACTACAGTGCCAAAAAGAAAGTTCCCCCCTATAAGTATATCATCATAAATTCTAAATAAATTATTACCTGATAATCACACCTAGCACTGATTAGACCTATGGCAGTTAGCTTCATGCTGTTTGAAGGATGAGGTCATTCATGCTTTAAAGAATGACTTAAGCCCCGTTTACACTACGCTCAATTTTTGGTACCGTACCACTTTTTGGTTCTTGGACTACCTAAATAGGTAGTCCAAGAACCAAAAAAGTGGTACGGGTACCAATTTTATCCGTGCCGTACCAAAAATTGCTAAATAGATAGTCCAGCTAAATAGATAGTCCAAGAACCAAAAAAAGTGGTACGGGTACCAATTTTATCCGTGCCGTACCAAAAATTGAGCGTAGTGTAAACGGGGCTTAAATCTCCATTGAATACAAAAATAGCCAATTTCAAAATTAACAAGAATGACTTTATTTAAATTTCACAACAACAGTAGTGTTTCATATCAATGATTTAATAATGGGTGTAACCACCACGCTTTTCGATAACTTAATTCAGCATCGTCCCCTCAGAAAGAGAATGATGTGGTCTGCAAACTTGCCAAACCTATCTTCGAGACCAGCAAAAGCGGTCTGTCTGTCGCCAGTTCAAAGAATACTGCACGCGGGCTGACTTGGCTCAATAGACCTTTCCCCTTTTGAGTGAAATTGTGATCTAGACAAGTCTGGACAAACATTTCATCACAGCTTGAAAGAGCATCACAAAATTAGTAATATTCCGAAGTTTCGTTGCGAAATGTTGTAAAATGCGGACAGGGCCGTAGCTAGCATGTATAGTTGGGGGGGTGTAGGCCAAAAATTTCCGAATGACGAAGAAAATTTCCGAATATTTCATGGCATACGAAGCCACGAAGGTGTTTGCTATCCGGAAAATGAAGATGCAATTTACAAAAAAAATACACATAGTTTACGCAAAGACATATTACAGAAGCATGCAGTGCCATAGGAAGCTCTTTTTTATTGGGGGCTGGGAACGAGGGCCGAAGGCCCGAGAAAATTTTTAAATTTAGATTCTCTGAAATGCCATTTCCTGGACTTTGGGGAAGTTCTGACAGAATTCTGATGGTCAGAAAACGGAGTTTTAGTATGATATTTGTGACGTTACTCTGAGCATGCATCCACAGCGGGCAAGCTGAAAAGTTTGCTTGGCCACGGTGGGAGTCGAACCCGCGACCTTTGGGATACTAGTCCAACTGCCTCGTACCCAGGCGCTTACATGAAGTATTCAGGTAGGCATCCGACGCGCGAAGGGGATGTTGGGAAGGGTGCGTGCTGGGGAGCAGTTCAAGTGCACTCTTCCCATCAGCCCCTTCGCCATCTCTCCCCACTACAATACTTCATGTAAACACGTCATATGGGCATCACTGTTTTTTTACAAAGAGACGCCTGGGTACGAGGCAGCTAGTCCAATGTTCTGCCAGGGCGCTATAAAACACGGGCGGGGAAACGCGCTAATAAATGACCGTGCTATGTGTGATGCACATTAGGATTGGCGCGAGCGCGCTTTCTCTAAAAAAATCAGAAAATCACGTACAAAATGGCAACAAAAAAATGTAAACAAGCAAACGAGAAAACAAAGGATTTAACTGCTAAGTAATTATGTTTCGTTAATTAAAATTTGAAATATTATTTAATAAGTTATATCACATGTAATAGCTTGTGTTGTTTGTTACTGAACACTCGTTGAAAGAAAATTTCAGGGCAAAAATTTTACTCGAGCGATGAAAATATTTGCAAAATTTAAAGCGCGGACGTGTTTAAAATAGTGTTTTCTCCTCGTTGAGATAGGTTGAGATAAATTTGAACACACCAAACTATAGACATTTAACTTGGCTTTATGTCTCAAGTAAAATTGAACGGTGCTTTTTTGTGCTTTTTTCATAAAATGGAGATATCTTGCAGCCTATATAGTTTTCCGTATAGTCCACACGACAATTCCGCGACTACTTATATACTTATTTATATGCAGATAAGACGATATTTAAACAACACAAATTTTCAATTATTAATTCAACGAAATCACTTCCTGCCTCAAATACATACTATAAATGTTTATTGAAGTATCTAGTATCAGCTTATATTGCTAAAATTGGTATATATTTTACTTGCAAAATGAACAAAGCGATTGTTGAGGAAAAGACATCAATTTCGAACTCGATTTTGATGACATTTTTCGTTCTTGTCAAAGCGCGGACGTGTTTAAAATAGTGTTTTCTCCTCGTTGAGATAGGTTGAGATAAATTTGAACACACGAAACTATAGACATTTAACTTGGCTTTATGTCTCAAGTAAAATTCAACGGTGCTTTTTTGTGCTTTTTTCATAAAACGGAGATATCTCGCAGCCTTTATAGTTTTCCGTATACTCCACACGACAATATAGATTCGCGAGTGCTATACTTATTTATGCAGATAAGACGATATTTAAACAACACAAATTTTCAATTATCATTTGAACGAAATCACTTCCTGCCTCAAATACATACTATAAACGTTTAGTGAAGGATCTAGTATCAGCTTATATAGTTAAAATTGGTATCTATTTCACTTGCAAAATGAACAAAGCGATTGTTGAGGAAAAGACATGCATTTTGAACTCGATTTTGACGACATTTTTTCTTTTTTGTCAAAGCGCGGACGTATTTAAAATAGTGTTTTCTCCTCGTTGAGATAGGTTGAGATAAATTTGAACACACCAAACTATAGACATTTAATTTGGCTTTATGTCTCAAGTAAAATTGAACGGTGCTTTTTTGTGCTTTTTTCATAAATTGGAGATATTTTGCAGCCTTTACAGTTTTCCGTAACACTGTCACTGCACTGCAATGTCAACGACTGCAGTCGCACGAAAAAAGATTCACGCTGAATATTTTTGGAGTGTCGGCGGCAGTTATATATACCAATAATAGAAATCAAATCAATTAGTTAAAAACATTTTACAATGAACTTTCAATGGATTCTGAGCAGGCCGGCTGGTTAACACAAAAACGGTTATATATTTAAGTTTTCAAATTGTCGACAATTTGTTCAGTAGTTGTTTTTTTCAAATTGTAGTTGTTTTAAATGCATGCATGCATGGTCAATTTTGGGCTATATGATTATTGAAAAATAGTAGCCAAGCAATGTCAGAATATTCTTACTGTGAAAATGTTTATCCTACCTTCGTATTATGAAGTAAAATATCCCATTTCATACCAAAATTTTCGTATTTGGAATATGCCCACATTCGATCAGCTCGATCCTTTTCAAATTTTTATTTCGCTCATGATGAATCTTTAAAGCCCTTTTTCCTTCATCAGATATACAGAAAATGAATCCAACAATGTCTTCAAACCATCAAGTTGTTTAAGAATGCAGAAAACATTTTTTACTTTAGTTTTTTCAGCTCTTTTTTGCATAAACATTCCAATCCCATTTTTATTGACATTATAAATTAATGTATACGGGGGGTACGCGCATCACACAAAGATCAGGGGCGCTATCTCCGTTTCACCGCCCGTGTTTTAAGCCCGTTCTCCACTACGCGAATTTGTTCGCGCGACGCGAAGCGAAAACCGAAATCCGGCAACGTGATTGGTCGGCGAAAAAATTCGCGGCGAAAAAGTAGAATCGCTTCCTACTTTTTATCTGTTCGCGCAAATAAATTCGCCTAGTGGAGAACGGGCTTTATAGCGCCCTGGTTCTGCCAACTGAGCTACGTGGTCAAGTCGGTTCGAGTTGCGGTTAATAGAGTTTTAGTATGTCGAAATTTACAATTTGCTTACAATTTAGTAGAACTAAATGGGCGAAGACTAAATGGGCGAAGACTAAATGGGCGAAGGTGTGTCATGGATAATGTAGCCGCTTAAAATTAATCAATAGACCTTTCCCCTTATGAGTGAAATTTTGATCTAGACAAGCCTAAACAAAAATTTCATCACAGCTTGAAAGATCATCACAAAATTAGTAATATTCCGAAGTTTTGTTGCGAAATGTTGTAAAATGCGGATAATATAGCCTTGCGAAGTTTGCCGTTTTTCAGTCATTGTATTACAAATGGGAAATTGATAATCAGTTTGATCATCTGATTATCAATTTCCCGTTTGTAATGCAAAATGACTGAAAAACGGCAAACTTCGCAAGGCTATATATCCGCATTTTACAACATTCAACGAAACTTCGGAATATTACTAATTTTGTGATGCTCTTTCAAGCTGTGGTGAAATTTTTGTCCAGGCTTGTCTAGATCAAAATTTCACTCAAATGGGGAAATTAAGGTCTATTGTAGAGGTGTGCAAATCCGATCCGAATCCGATCGGATTCGTTCGGATTTCGGAACCAAAATGTAAATTTCGGATCGGATTGATAAAGTTGTTTCGTAGTCGGATCGGACTTCGATATCCGAAATAAAATGAATTAATTATCCATGCATTATCGCAAGAATTAATTATCCATACATTTATCAAAGTATCATCGCGGTTTTCGCTGCATTATTCGTTTGATACTTCAATTGGACGTCACTTTGTCAGCTTCTTGACATGTATTTCTTGCTTTTATATTTATTTGGTTAAATATTTCAACTTGAATGAGAAATTTATTTTATTAAAGAATTCTTCGGATCGGATTGGAATTCTTTTTCAAAACTCGGATCGGATTCGGATTAGACAATTTCGGATCGGATTTTAAACATTAGGCAATTGTCGGATTATAAACGTCCAATCCGATCCGATGCACACCTCTAGTCTATTGTCAGTATTTTAAAGGTATATTATTTAAATGATAAAGGTGTGCATGATTTTGAAAAAAGAATGATTATCAGCAAATTATTGTAAGGGCTGCTGCCTCCAGTCCCCCCTCCCCCCGACTGCTACGGCCCTGAGAAGTAATAAACCGAAAAACATTTACCGATTTACGATTTGTTTTACGTTATCCATGTAAATGCCGTGATTTCGTAAATCAGTTTATACCAATGGTTTATACTGACAATACCATTTTATAATATTTTCTCTGTTTAAATAACTAAAATTTTGTTACACTATTATTGCCGTAATTTTCCGAATGGCCAACCCGATTTTCCGAATATGTTAATTCTACAAAAGTTGGGGGGGTTAACCACCCCCCCCCAATACCCCCCTCGCTACGGCCCTGTATGCGGATAATATAGCCTTGCGAAGTTTGCCGTTTTTCAGTCATTTTCTTATCACAAATGGGAAATTGATAATCAGTTTGATCATCTGATTATCAATTATGGACCAGTGGCGTAACTGCTATGGGCTCAGACCGAGAGAACCCGGGGGTCCCCAACCCAAATGGGGGCCCCAGGCTTAGGCCATAGAGCAAAAACATTGGCCAGGGCTTCTGATATGTTACAATGTCGTTTTATGACGATCAGAATTCTGTAAAATCTCTCCCCAAAGTCCAGGAAATGGCATTTCAGAGAGTCTAGATTCAAAAATTTTCCGGATGAGCATGCCCTGGACCCCCTAGTAAACTCGTGCATATACGGCGCTCGATTCGTGCTTTTGGCACTTCTACTAGGGGGGCTTTCGAAAATTTTGAACCGGGGGCCCCCTGATATAACGTTACGCCACTGTTATGGACATTTGCATTATAGACTAAATTTTGATCTAAACAAGTCTAGACAAAAATAAAAAACACAGCTTGAAAGAGCATCACAAAATTAGTAATATTCCAAAGTTTCGCTACGAAATGTTGTAAAATGCGGATAATATAGCCTTGCGAAATTTGCAATTTTCAGTCATTTTGTATTGCAAACGGGAAATTGATGCCCCAACACCCGATTGGGCTGTCATTTAATTTTCCGTTTGTAATGCAAAATGACTGAACAACGGCAAACTTCGCAAGGCTCTATTATCCGCATTTTACAACATTTCGCAACGAAACTTCGGAATATTACTAATTTTGTGATGCTCTTTCAAGCTGTGATGAAATTTTTGTCCAGGCATATCTAGATCAAAATTTCACTCATAAGGGGAAAGGTCTATTGTTGCAGGAGGAATGGATGGCTATATCTCAACGGTATAGGTGAGCAGACTCCTCAACACCATGATCAGGAGACGATGGCTGGAGGTGATCGAGAAGCGTGGTGGTTACACCCATTATTAAATCATTGATAAAACATTACTGTTGTTGTGAAATTTAAATAAAGTAATTCTCGTTAATTTTGAAATTGGGTATTTCTGTATTCAATGGACGTTAGGTGACGACAGAGACCTCCAAAAGTTGCGTTAACGTTGTTGTTAATCGTCCTCGTTACAATTATACGTACATATACTATAGTGTAATTTGAAGCAAGGAACAGATTAGCAATGGGTTGAACAGTAAAATCTGATCTTAACATAGATCGTTAAAAAAGGAAATAAGGGTACATATAATAAAAAAATGATACAATGAAAAAGAGGAAATAACGGTGTTGGTCTATTATCATTTACCACAAAAACTACATCCGATTTATTTAACCGAAAAAATAATATTTACATATTGCCACATAACAATATTCTTGTAGCTGAACCAGCGCAGTCAGCGCAACATATATTATGAAAGAGACAACTATTTTTGGCAACATATATATAACAGAAAAATTAGTACTTTCTATACCACAAACATTAACAGTAAATTTACCTGAAAAAGTCAGTTTTAGGACTTTTAGAAAAAGAGGAAATATTTAAATTAATTTTAGTAAAATTAATGTCTTCTTAAAGCTCTTCCTGTGCCTATATATATACAGTAATTATTATGTACTTGTTGAACTAAATTGCGGTAACCGTTGCTATCGCGGCATCGCTACGACGTTCAATATGACGGATATTCTGATGTTAAAACTCGCGAAAAAGACATCGGCGACGCTCTTGGCTGGAATGCTTTGTTATTTTACTTTCTTTATTAATTAAATTATTATGACAATTTTAAAACTGAAGATTGTGTCGAGCCCAAAAAAATTTTATTACGAATCAGTAATCACATTTTACTTAATTTGGAAAATTTTGTGTCGACAGAATTTAAAATCATCAAAATAATTAAATAGAAGGCCGAAATACGGGCGTCCCAGGGTCATCGGTGTCAGTTTAATTTTAAAGTACTATCAAGCGAAATTAACTGCCAAATTGAAATGTCATTGTTGCCAAAGCAACGGCAGTACGTAACTTTGGTGGAAAAATTAAAAAATGTTTATACAAATTACAAGTCAAATGGTTAGCCTCCTTCCCGGGTGAGATGCCTGCGGAGGAGGCTATCATACACTTCACTTCTTCAGTTTGAGTTTTTCAACAAGTATAATAATTGGCAAAAACATATTAAACCCACTGCCCACTGGTTTTCTACACTGGATAGTGCACCTATTATACATATTAACTATGAAGCAAATGCTGGCCATATTGGTGTGACCACCCCACGTCTACGCTACGTGGCTTCTTATAAATCGTCATGACTGGAGGTATTTAATATGATCAACTCCTATGTACCTAAAAGCAAAGTCATCAGGCAAACAAATGTTCGGTAAAAATAGAATTCCATGCGAATGTCTTTCTAATTTCCTAAAAATAAGGCGCCTTGATGATTCGGTACAGCCCTTATAATACACCAGCCTGTTGTTACTCATTTATATTTCTATAATATTCATGCAAGAGGCATGCTAAGGCCCAAGAGCTTTTCTGACCCGCTCTTTAAACTTGTAAAGTGGTTTTCTGCATGGTAAAACATCTCGTTTTCTGGTATGACATTTTTAAACCATTAAATATTAATATTTTGTCCTTTTTAAATGCAAAGGCTCCCCAAGTCCCAGAACCTTCGTTATTTATATATATATAACCTATTCACCTCACAAGTAAAAAAATTTCAGAGAAATCTGAACCGATTGTATATCAATTCGAATTTCACTTCCGGTTTCAGGATGGTCCGGCAGCTATATAGCAGAAGATCATGTACATGTGGATGTTATTGGGCTGTATACAACTAATCAATTTCCCACTAAGAGTGTGACAGAAAGTCGGTATAATCGGTGTGCATTCAGATATTAACTTGGCAATCGTATGACTGATGACCACTGATGGACGGTAAGGACAAGAGTACATATTAATATTTTCAAAGGAAAATTTATTCCCCTTTTTTTACTTTACACAAAATTTTTAGTTCTATCATCTAGTTCTAATAGTAATAGAGTATATACTTGCAAATTAGTAAATATTCCACTACACCCTTAAATTTGGAAATACATAGCAAATTAGCTTCGTTTAACAGGAAATTACGGTACATCGATGCAACTGCATGAGAAAACACAGATTCTGAAAAAAAATGAAAAACAGCATATTAAATCAGTATACTGTAACTATACACCGATAAAAGGGTACCCTGGAACCGGAGGGTATTTATTTTCGCCTGTTTTGAATAACCCTCTGGTGAAATTGACGTAGTTTTCGTGTTCACATTCCACACATAACTTTCAAAAATGGAAGCAAAGAGTTGATTGGCTGCTGACTATAGGTTCGATAGACTACGTATTCTGATTGGATATTGTAAACATCATAGCCTGTTCGCAGGCGTTTCGTGTTTTGATTGAATTGAAACATTTGAATTTTGAAATGTCTAATAATATTATTAAATAAGCGAACAAAAGTTGAAAGAAGCAGTTTTATAGGCTGCATTAATAGATAGATTGATAAATTTCCTGAATTAAAAGTTTAACGGAGCATCAATACCGCGCCTTGTCCAATTTGATTCACATTAAAGATGTATTTGCATCTTGCTATCGGTTATGGGAAGAGTTTAATATTCCAAAGTTCCAACACCGAGAGTAGCACGACGACTTGGCAAAAGCCACAATTTTCTGGAGAAACCCGTCTTAATAGTCATTTGCAAATTGAACTATTTCATTGACTCTCACGTCCGTGAACTAAGAAAGCGTGGATGCCGTGTTACTTAACTGTCAAACGAAGAGGACGAGAAAGCAATACTAGATGGAGAGTTTACATTCGCATTCTGTAATCCCGGCGAGTCTATTATTCGAAATGCGAAATAGAGAGGAATGGTTTCATTTGAAATCTACAAGACAAATTTGCTTGCTTTTGAATTAACAGACAAAGTTCACGTCGGCCCAAAGAGGTGTGTTTAATAAATTTATAAAATACAGATTTTTTTGAATGTATATTGCAGGATTAAATTGAATGTATATAGACACTTCCCGAATTTGCTTGAGTGCACACGAAACAATAGCTTGGAATCGAGGCGGACAATGTAATCCATTGGAAATAAGTATAGTTTTCCAATGGATTACATTGTCCGCCTCGATTCCAAGCTATTGTTTCGTGTGCACTCAAGCAAATTCGGGAAGTGTCTATTGCAAGATTAAAGTGAATGAAAATAAATATATATTTATATTAAATTGAATAGATGTGATGTTTTAAATTGAATGAAATTCAGGAGAATGAATATTGCTACAAATGGGCAGGCATACACTGGACAGTAAACATGCGATAAAACCCTGTCTAGACGGCCTGGCGTCAAGGATAATGATTGGATAATATTTTTAGAATATGCTGCATTAAGCCATTATACATTTTTTGCATTCTTTGTCCGAACCAGGAATCGCTAACAAATTCACCAGAGGTTTTTCCTTTTTCTTCGCGCGTTTTCTCGCATTTCGCGTTCGCCAAACCTAAAAAAACCTCTGGGCCAGGGTAATAAAAGGGCAGTGCTCACAATCAAATTTTCGAATTCCTTAGAAAAAGCTCGAAAATTCCTCAGATTTCCTTAAAATTCTTTAATGGTAAAATTACTACACTTAGACCTGGTCACATAGTTGCAAAAGTGTTTTTTCTCCTTTTTTGCTGTTTTTCAGTTTTTCAACCTTGTTTCTAAGCACTAAAAACTGAAAACAATTCCTTTAAAAAATCCTCAAAATTCCTATTTTTAAGGATAATTCCTTAAAAGTGAGAGCATTGAAAAAGACATACGAAAATTCGACATGCGACATTAGCTTGTTGTGATGATTCACAAAAGTCAAAGGATTTTCCAAATAAACATTCGTAGGGTTTCCCATAAAAACATTCATGAATTTAGAAATTCGTCACACTTATATTCACGGTACTCTGTCACTGTGAATAAACTTTATCGAGTGGGGGACTATAACCTGCCCCACCCGCTCGATATTCACTTAAAGTCTGTTAAAAATTGTAAGAAACGCCTGACAGTCTTTTAATGTGGAAAATTAGCTGCATTAAATTTGGACCAAAATGAACTGAAATCATGCAGCAACACTGAAATATAGTGTAGCCGTAGGTCGGAATTTGTTGCCAATTTCCACCAATATACTAATATAGTATCTGCCATGTCACTGAGTTAGTCAAATGTTCATGACCTGCATGGTAGACTTGATAGCTGGAAAATACTCATAGTTTTATAATAAAGTGTTTTAAAACATTAGTTTCTGGTCTCATTTGATTCATACTTCTCTCTAAGGGACCGGTCATTATTTATGGCAGGGGTGGGGGCCGAAGAGAAAATGGTGGGGTAACTGAAAAATAATAGTTGCTTTAGGTGGGGTGGCCAAAAAATCCTTGCATGCAGAGGTGGGGTAAAAAAATAACCTTACTTTAATCACACACAATACAATATATACTACAATTGATCAGAGTTTAATGTGTGATTATTCTAATTTTTTAATAAAATGTTATTGCTTTCCAAAATGTTGACAGAAACACCCCCCTCAACCCACCCATAAAGGGTCATTTTTATATTCATTTACACACAAAATCTCCAAAGACTCCAATTACCATGAGACAATATATGCTGCCTATATATAGGGGCAGTTTATATGGTGCAACTGCAAGCCAACCCCAGGTACCCAAGCTGGCCCAGTTTTGGCGAGATCCTGCCTTTGTTGTTATTTCTTACTAAAGTTCACCTTGTGTATATATGGGTAAAGAGCGGGCCCAGCTATAGCTAAGCGAGATCCCTCCCCTTTAGCCGGAGATCTTGCTTCAGGAAAAGTGACCTTAAGTCTGTAGCCCATAACCCTGGGCATCCAGCCTCGCCCCCATATAAACATCCTCTTATTACATATTATCTCAAAAAGTATATGTACAGTCTATTAAATTTTCAGGATTTAATTTCTGGGCATCTACACTTGATACTGCATAACTAATATTTATATCCAGTATGTGCTTGTAAACCATGTGTACAATTCAGGTAGCAAATCATGAAATATGCCCATGCCCCTTGTGAATCTGGAGAATCATTCCAATGGCTAGTTGACAATATGTTCAACTCTAGTTGTTTTTCTTTACTAGCAGACCATGTATACATGGATATAAAAATAAGAGAAATCTATTTACCCGTTTTACAGATTAATTTAATTGTTTATATAATCATACTTGGTATTCGGATGAATATCTTTATCTTCACACTGTATAACAGCAACTTTTTCTCATTAATTTACAGTAACTTTCTAAATTCAGATATTCTCACATGGGACAAATACTTTAGTATCGTGCTATTGTTTACGAATTAAAATATTACAGTAAATTGATTTCATAAACTTCAAGAATTCCTTGGGAATTCTTAAGGAATTCCTTGGGAATTCTTAAGGAATTCCTTTAAAATTCCGTGATGATACATGTGATTGTCTATAGTAAGGAAATATTAAAGGAATTTCAGAGGAAATTTTAGAATTTAGATAGTTGCAATCATGGGTGAGCACATATTTTGTGAAACTGTTTCAAAATAAAATTGCATTTTAATTAATAAAGAAATGCAAGAATGTGAAAGAAACCAAATTATATACAGTGAAACTTTAAAGTGGGAATTAAAGAGATAGGGTGGTGAAATACGGTTAGTGTTCTAAAATATTGAAGCATATGGTTAATATATGTTTATGGGACTAGCATTGCACTATCTCGTGAAAAGGGAATATAGCGTTGAATACAAACTATAAAAACCCATTCATATTTCAATTTTACAAGTAGACAAATTTTAAGCCTTCAGATAACTATAATTCTTTATATAGTACCTTGCTATTGTAGGGATAACCCATAATATAAATGCATGACTGTTGTTATAGTGTGCTTTAATTTATACTGATCCACAAGAAATAAGGGGAAGGCAAGGGATATTGGTAAACAAGTATTACCAATCAATCCTATTCCCAAGGGATATTGGTAAACAAGTATTACCAATTAATCCTATTTCTAATGTCCACTGTGGTCAAAGCACCCTATAATAATTATTATTATACATTGTAGTTGGTAAAAGCAATTTGATTGGCTAAGAGCTTACAGTTAAATCACGCAACCTACACAAAATTCAGTTATCTGCTAGCAGATAACTCAGTTATCTGCTAGCAGATAACTGAATTTTGTGTAGGTTGCGTGAGGTTGAATGAGTGTACATTTCAAATGAGTGTACATTTCAATTTTCAAATGAATGTACATTTCATAATTGTAATGTTTACTTTAACAAGTAAATATTTTAATACGTTAACATCTTAACGATAATATGTTTCTTCTATATTTGTAATTAATTTAACTGTTGGACTTCCGGAGACTTGTTTATAGAAACGTTTTACTTGAACAGCTTCGCCAGAAATCATATTGAATATAACGCTTACCGAGACCTTGATAATTTTGCATATCGCAAAAAAATTAAAATATTAAAATACTATGTTTATTATTTTTCAAATGTATAATAAAACAATTATTGAATTCGGTTTTTGCGATATGCAAAATTATCAAGGTCTCGGTAAGCGTTATCAGCTTCGACTCGGCTGATAACGCTTACCTCGACCTTGATAATTCCGCATATCACAAAAACCTCATCCAATAATTGTTAATTATTTACTCTCTAACAGCAGATGATCTTACTCATCAAGGGCAATTTTGTACCTTGATGAGTAATATGCATACAAAATACTAAACTGTTTCATTACATATTTTATGTCTGAACCTTTGACATTGCAACAAAATAGGATTGGGTGGGGTAAAAAAATTTTCTGGCATTCCACCGATGGGGTAGCTAGAAATTTTGTTTCGAAAAAGGTGGGGTAATGATTTTTTCCGGCTTCATTATACTTTCTCTTCGGCCCCCACCCCTGCCATAAATAATGACCGGTCCCTAATACAGAATAACTATATGCAGTGAGAAAAAACATAAAGAAGCTATAGAAACTATACCTTAGCAATAATATTCAGTTTCATGATACATAACCTCGATCAATTCTGGAAGAAACTCTGGTTCAAAGATGAATTGATCATTTGTGCACAAATTCAATAAGGCATTCATGTTTCTCTGCTCTCCTGTGAGAATGCCGAACACTTTTATATTCTCATTATCCAACAACTTTCCAATTTCTACGAGACCTTCTTGATACGGTGGAGTGTTCTGAATACCATCCGTGAACAGGACGATCATCTTGAGTTAGAAGATAACAAAAAATGTGAGAATTACTCTATATTTACGCCATGTAAAACAATTTATACAAAACTAGTATATTACAAATCTAGTATATTTACATGCACATGATATAAATTTTGATTATTCAATATAATAGCATTCTTAAAAAGTCAAATTTGATAATCATATAAAGCATTCTTCAAACACTCATTAATAATTCATAAGCTTATTGGCAAATCATGTTAACCATAATATGTCACGTGTAGTGGCTTTAAACCTGATAAAACACTCCTAATTAATATTCTTTATATAAAGAATACTAATAAGGCAGTATCTATTGTAGTCGTGTCCTCATTAGTATTTTTTATATAAAGAATACTAATAAGGCAGTATATCTATTGAATTTGTAGTCGTGTTTGAAGCCGTTTAATAAACTCGCAGGTCGTGTCTTATTAGGTCTAAAGCCTCTCGCGCTGCGCGCTTGTGTCTTTAAA